TTTTTCGATTACATTCAGATTCAGCATAACACTTTCATACACATTTCATACACACGCTTGTGTGTGTGTCTCGAGAGGATTGTATCTCTCAGTAGGAGTTTAATTGTATGATGTCAAGTGAGCTTCATTGGTCCAGGAGGACTGCGGTCATTCTCAACAATGAGAACATCTGCTCAAAGCGAGTGTTGTCTTGCTCTGTGATTGGGTCATAATGTCAAACTATCAAACATTTTAATCCATCCTGACATTATTTCCCTACTTCTTCTAGAACGTTCAGGATTTATCACGCCATTCTGTCAGCAGATCTCTACCCATCAGTGTTTAATTTATGTTAAAGGACAATCAACAATATGTGGATGGTTTATTGAAATATTTTAAAGTCGTTTATTGTACATCTGGTATCTTGTGGCGGTTGACCATTTGATCTTTGAGGGTTTCGTCCCTGAAGTGATAATTGACATGATTTGCAAAAAACAAACGTACTGCTAAAAACACAATAATTGAGCGCTTTCATAATAGATCTTTTGTGCGCATCTGAGTCGATGTGACATCAGAGTTCAGTTTGTTTGGTTGCAATGAAAGTAATTTTCTAAACTTAAATGCACATCAGTGAACCACACATCGTCTTTATGTAATAACCTGTAATAGCCAGATTTTGCTATTATGCGAAAGTGAAAAAAAAAAGAACACTAAATGATTTTCTTTCACAAAATTTGTTCACACACAGTGCAAGCCAAAATTCTTGCAAACCTCCCTGAAATGAAGCCCAAAGCCTGACAGAAACGACGTGATTCAGACTTCCGACTGGTATTTTTTACTCTGTTTATGGCAATGCATGATATGAACGTTTTCATTTTTCACCCATATTATCTCTGCACCACATATAATGACTTATTTACGTAAGGTGTAACTGTTGTGAAGGTCTCTCACTCTTATTCGCAAACTGACACAGTTTTTTAATTTTTTAATAATATGGGTGAAAAATGTTTACGTAAGGTAAAAGCTGTCCAACTAGTAGACTTTTAAGTAAAAAAAATAGTTTTTAGTGAATCAAATACATATATCAAAGTGTAACAGTGTAATCCGCTTCACGATCATTCAAACAAGATAAACTTCATACTCTTTCATGGGGGTTTATGACTGAAGTGTTCATGATTCATAATTGAATTCCTAAGTGTTCATAATTGTACACATACTGTATAGTAACCGTTTTAGTTTTGCACAAGAAATTATTTGCAAATTAAAGTTGCATCAGTTGATAACTACAGAGCAGTTTTGGATTGTGCTGATTTAATATATGTTAAATAAATGATAATACAAATATTTTTACCAAATTAGAAGGGTCCCTTTATAACTTGCAGCATTAGATGAGAGAGGATTTCTTTCATATGTAAGCAGAATGGACAGTATAACCAAAATATGCCTAAATGAATTGGAATCAAATTGAGAGTTTGTGAATCAGAATCGAATTCATCATGTGAGTGCTAGTGGTGGTAATAAACGTAATGCATTTCAGACCTAGTTAATAGCCCACAATGAAAAGTGACCAGCAGGGGCAAAGAAGAAGGGTGGAACTTTGGACCCAGACACAAAATACACAATAAAAAACACATTACATTGTGAGAAGTTTTTTAACGAGAGATGTTTTTTTTCTTGTGTCAGAACAGGTCAACAACAGGTTAAAACTGTTTGTGGAGAGGGAAAGTTTCGAAAAAGAATTGCCCCTAATGTTTCAGAAAAGCAAGAATAATGTAAATGAAGTGTAGTGTATTAATGTGAAACACACGCTTTCTTGTGTTGTGCTGTGTTTGTGTTGCGATTATGTGTGTGTGGTCAGTCTGATTAAAAAGGTCGTTTTTCTCCAGCTGTCAGCGGAAAGAATGGAGAATGTCAAAATAAGTATGAGTGGAATAGATGCTACCGTTAGCTCAGACCACACACATACACAACCTCTTCAACAAGCAATGTCATACAATTCAAACAGAAATAAATTAGGCCTCATACAGCACGTACCCTTACTATAAATATTGTTTCAGAGCAACACATGTGTAATGTGTGAGTCTACACACACGTGTATGTATGAGGGTGTGAGTGTATCTGTCCTCGGTGACAACTGACAAACTAATCACACGCACGTATTCATCATGCAGCAGCGTTTATCTGTTCACAATCTCTTGTTTTACAAGCATGAAGAAATGTACACACATGCGGACACACGTTTGAGGGAAGCAATTTTAGCTTGATGGAGCATTTGACCAATCAGTTTGTGGGTGGTCTAAAGAAAGACAATTCTCTCTCCCTCTCTCTCTATAACTTGTATCCTCTAGTGTGTTTTGGTAACATTTGTACAGTATGGTTCAGTTTGATCGTATACATGCATTTGGTACATTATCGTTCAAAAGTTTAAGTTTTTTTAATGTTTTTGACAGAAGTAAAATATAAACAAGTACTGTAAAAAGTAACAGAAATATTGTGAAATATTATTACAATTTAAAATAACTGTGTTCTATTTTAATATATTTTCAAATGTAATTTATTTTAGCGATGAAAAAGCTGAATTTTCAGCAGTCATTACTGCAGGCTCGAGTGTCACATGATCCTTCAGAAATCATTCTAATACACTGATTTGGTGCTCAAGAAACATTTCTTATTATCAATGATGAAAATGCTTAATATGTTTGTGGAAACCATGTATTATATAATGAATAGAAAGTTCAAAAGACCAAATAATCCAACTGTGCATCTCTTGTGATACTGCAGAAAGACAAAGTTTCTAATGACCTTTAAGAAAGAAAGAGATTGGTGTACAGTTGTTTAGTTTGTGTGTGTTGTTTAGTGTGTGTAAAAAAGAGACAGATGAGATGTCTCACACTAGAGTCGAGTTACAAGGTCTAGACTGCACAGAGCTTTTTCTCACACACACACACGTCTTGCTAAATGAGGACATACCGTAGACCTCTATTGTATATATTTAAAGCTAATTATAATTACTGCAAACTAACCCAAACCATACGTCTAAAATAAAACGTTTTACATGTTTAATATTGGAAACACATTATTTGCTTTATTTATAAATCCCTTTTACGTTTCATGGTGACTCAGATGTCCCCAAAGGCAGGTTTTGTCAGATTTGGCTAACTTCTAGGGTCGGCTTGGTCCCTAAAGTACATGTAATTAAACCTCCATACTCACTTTCTTTTGTTGCGTATCATAATTGCAAATAAGAAAATCATTGTAAGCTTGGAGAAATGTTTTCAATACTCTCTCTCTCTCACACACACACATACAGACTCTGAGCCAGAACATCATGTCCAAAGGCTGGAACATCCTCTGGCAGGAAGACTTAGAGTGTCTGATTTCAAACACACAGTGGATTTAAAAACAAAGTGTGACACAGCAAGGTGTTTACAGATCTAAAAGTGTCATCTTACCGGTTAAAACACACACATACTCGCGTTCACATTCGCGCTTTAATGTTTTACGTGGATGCATGAATACACATGACACCCAAAGCACTCTGGGGCTGAACTTTGTGATTTAGTGGCTTTTCTAATCACATAAATAATGTGAGTTTTACACAGACACAGCTGCATGACCCCGCTAACGCTGCTCTACAAGTGTGTGTGTGTGTGTGTGTGTGTGTGTGAGTGTGTGTGAATTCAGACTCCTTTCCCTTCAACAATCCTGCAATCAAAAAAGAAAAAAAAAGAAAAACTATGAAGATGACAATAACAGTCTAGGTCTTGTAACGTGATTCTACTGTGAAGAACAGCAGGGTCATGTTCTCTGTCTTACTGACACAGACACAGATATGTGCTACTGCAACTGACCCAGAGTTACTCTTCTCTCAACCTTTTCATTCACTGTGTATAAACATACATGGGAACTCCAAACTGTCCTGAAGTATCCTGACCTGATAGTTATCCCCGAATATAAGATGTATGATGAGCTGTGTGTGTGTATGTGTCCACCGTCTGCCTTAACATCCTCTTATTGCAATCTCAAAAGCCCACAGTTACAATAGTAGTGCTTTATACACATACAAAGAATGAAGAACTGAAATAACGATAAATAAGCAAGGAAAGGAGACAAAAAGAGAAGAAAGAAAGAAATAGAAAGGGAAAAAATAGGAGGGAGAATGTATAGACGGAATGAAGCCTGAAATGGAAAAAATTAAGGGAGAAAAATGAAAGGAAGGAAGAAAAATAGAAAGAAGAAATGGAATGAAGAAATGAAAAGAAAAAATTAATGAATAAAGAGAAAAAAATAAATTAAAAAGGAATGAAAAGAAGACAGAGAAAAAAAATAGCAAGAAGGGGAAAGTATTAAGAAAAATAGGAAGGAAAGAATAAAGAATGAGAAGGAAATAAAGGAAGAATGAAGAAACAAAGGAAGAGAAAGTTTGTTCTCTCCCAACCTCATCAATTTAGTGAAAATGTCTTTGCTTCCTCTCTCTCTCTCTCTCTCTGTGTGTGTGTGTGTAAGGCTTGCAGCACTATTACTCTTTTCATATGTGAGATAATGATAAGAAAGGTATTTCTTTTCTAAATAATTCATTAAGTTTATGTGATTTTGTCTGTGTTTGTGTACTGGATCATCCTATTGGAATGTCTTACTGTTGTAAATCCACAGGGTTTCTCAACGCACACACACACACATTATGTTCATTATGCTGTCGTTCAGCAGAAGTGTGTGTGTGTGTGTGTGTGTGTGTGTGTGTGTGTGTGTGTGTTTGTGTGTGTGTGCGTGGTGGGGAATGAAACGAGGAGAGAGCAGAAGAAGAGAGAAAGGGCCGCGGCAGGAAAAAGTGTGTGTGTGTGTGTGTGTGTGTGTGTGCATGGTGACATTTATTTTATGAAGAAGTGGATTCATTTCATTGATCATGTTTTGGCTCAAACTCAAGCTGGAGTTAAAATGTAAAATGCTTTGAAACAGCACCATTAATTAATTTTATTCTTCTGCACTATATTTAAAAAAAACGTATTCCTTCATCTTCACAGAGCAGATGGAGGGATGAACACACAAGAGGGCTGGAGAGAGTCATTCATCGTACCAAACGTTCAGGTAAAAAAAAAACTCCTTTGTGTGTGTTGGTATTCATGAAATTTAGAGCTTATATTAAGACTGTGTGTGTGTGTGTGTGTGTGTGTGTGTGTCGTTTTATTTTAAAACTACTGATTTTTCTTATATACACATTCATTTAAATCTCAACTTCTCTTTCAGATACGTTCCAGTCTCTAATCACCTTCTCTCAGAATCACCTGACCTCTCTGTTCGAGACCACATACTCTTCCCTCATGTCATCCATCTCCCCGCACATCGCCTGCCTCTTCACGGACCTTTCTCGCTTCCTCCAGGGCACCGGCAATATCTCTGTTGAAGCTGCCGTTCACTGTTTCTTCGACAGTCTCTTCCCGTTAGTCCACACTCGTATTGTCAATCCCGGCATTGCTGGAAGCATTGGAGAGGACTCTTATAATGGAAACCAGCTTGGCGACTGTCTCCGCATGACAAGGCAGGACGTTAACCCCTTTGGGCCACACCCAAAAGCAATGGCAGATACGCTTGCGAGCGCGTTGCGGGCAGGCCGGGTGCTCAGCCTGGCGCTCGGCGTGGGGTTGGAAGTGATGAACATTACAGATACGGCAGAGTTGTCCAAGGAATGCAGTCGCGCTTTGGTGCGCATGCATTACTGCTCTCATTGCCGTGGACTCACCCTGATCCGGGCGTGCAGTGGCTACTGCCTCAACGTCATGCGCGGGTGCCTGGCCAGCCTCTCGGAGCTCCACAACCCCTGGAGACAGTACGTCAACGTGCTGCAGGATCTCACGCACATCGTCACCGGAGCGCACAACCTGGAGCTCGCCTTGCTGGGGATCAGAGGTCAGGTTGAGGAGGCCGTACTCTATGCTCAGCTCCATGGGCCCAGGCTAACTGCTACGGTGGGTGTCAGCAT